GTACGGAGGCTACTTGTATTGTTTACAGTGACTTGAAAATTGTGTCTCAGCGAAAAAATGGAATTAACACGAGAACACTTTCGTGCGATGATTTTTTACGACTTTCGACGTGGATTATCGAGACAAGAGTGCATCGATCAACTTGCTTCCACTTTTGGCAATGAAGCACCACACAAGGCCACTATTTGTCGCTGGTTTAATGAATTCAATCGTGGTCGTAGTTCGCTCACCGACGAACTTCGCGAAGGTCGTCCAAAATCAGCTGCTGTGCCAGAAAACATCGGTGCTATGCGTGAATTGATAATGCAAGATCGACATGTGACATACCGTGAAATTCAGGCATCCTTGGGTGTTAGTATGAATTGCATACAAACGATATTGCATGAACATTTGGCCGTAAAAAAATTTGTTCACGTTGGATCCCGCATAATTTGACAATTGCTCAAAAAAAGGATCGTGTAAATTGGTGCAAAAAAATGCTGAAGAAATTCGATCAAGGTACATCAAATGCCGTATATAACCTTTACACAGGTGACGAGTCATGGATCTATGCATATGAGCCGAAAACTAAACAGCAGTCGACTGTGTGGGTCTTTCAAAGTGAACCTAACCCAACAAAAGTTGTTCGCGCTCGAAGTACTTCGAAACAAATGGTCGCCTGTTTTTTCGGAAAAACTGGTCATGTGGCAACAGTACCCTTAGAGAAATGTAAAACGGTCAATTCTGAGTGGTACACAACCATTTATTTGCCAGAAGTCTTCGGCCAAATAAGGAAAAACAACTCAAGAAGACGAATCATTCTTCACCATGACAATGCGAGCTCTCAAACATCGGCTCAAACAACCGCCTATTTGACCAGTGAAAACATCGAATTAATGGATCATCCAACGTACAGTCCTGATTTGGCACCCAATAACTTCTTTTTGTTCCCGAACATCAAGAATAAACTGCGTGGTCAACGATTTTCGACACCAGAAGAAGCGATTAATGCGTTTAAAACACATGTTTTGAAAGTACCACTTTCGGAGTGGCATGGATGCTATAATAAATGGTTTGAGCGAATGCAGAAGTGTATTGATCATCATGGAGAATACTTTGAAAAACAATAAAGCCATTTTTAATGACAAATTACCGTGTTTTCCTTACTAGTCGCAAAATTTACGGAGCAGCCCTCGTAGTTACATAATTACAAACAAAACATTTTTAAGAAATTACCTAATTGTTATTGCATAAATACGTTGAAATTTGTTCATTATAATTGTGACCTTTTTCAAATCTCGCAATTGTTGTAAATCAATATTTTTTCTTATTCTTTTTAGTTCATCGATAGTGTAGTTTCATTTAACTTAAGAAAAAATAGTATTTATGTTTCAGAATTGCATTTGCTACATAGTACACAAAATCACAAGTCACTGACAGTACGGCGCTATAAAGATATTTCAGTATACTCTGATATATTAATAAATGAATTATTTTTGAATATATTAATTTATATTTAATTAAATATGTTTTACATTATATTAAATATGTTTTATTGTCGAAAGTTAAATAAAACACTATTGAAGTTTTAGAAAATTTCGTTTTATGATTCATAGGGAAATAATTCTTAAAAATCACTGTTTTCTCGACTTTATAGGTTTCTCTCTTAAATAATAATAATAATGTAAAACAATGAAGTAGCACACTTACCACATTGTCCCTATACTCTTTGTCTTCATTCCATTTTTTTTCCGCAACATGAAAATCGGCAAGTGTTTGCGCAAAAAGATATTCAGAATGTATATCTGCATCAATATCTATTAGGTCGGATATTGACGTTATCATGTTCCTATTTGTTATTTTTTCCGCTATATTTTGCAGAATTCTCTCGCATTTTTGTCCTCTTAAATTATTTTGATGAAGAAGTTTTAATATATCCTTTTGAATACTTTGCATAACTGTAACATGGTTATTAATAAACATTATATAAAATATTTTATATTACAATACAGCGAAATTCATAACATAGAATATTTATTATTAATATTTAAATTAATAATTAGACCTTTGCACGAGTTACAATTTTTATTGGAAGCGGTGTTCCATTCAAATGGTTCAGCGTTATAAGCGTTTATATTCTTCTGGTCATTTTGTGCATCAGTGTTTTGTTGTATCGCACATATCTTTGAGAAGGAAGCAATATTTGACGCAGATTGTTTGCTATATGTTACTCGTAACTTGGAAAGAGAAGATAATAGCTTCTTAGTGTTCGAAAACAAATTAATATTTCTCTGATCATTTTGTCCGCAATTGTATAATTCTGTCGCACATGTCTTTGAAAACATGTTATTTTTAAATGCAGATTTGTTAAATTTTGCTTGTGATGACGTGGGAAGAGGAGCAGACGACTTCTTAGCGCTATAAGACTCGTTAGTATTTTCCTCCTCATTCTGTGAGAAAGTGTCTGATTGCGTCGCACATATCTTTGACGAAGAATCAATATTTGATCTTACTTGTGATACTTTAGAAAAAGAATATTTATATATATTCGTTGAAAGTTCACCATCACTTTCATTAAATTCTTCTTCACTACTAAATATTTGTTTCGCGTGTTTGCGACGCTTTATCTTTGCTGCATTGCAGTCACTTTCTGTAGAAATGTCCGATGTCTTTTCTGCCATAGATAATTTTTCTAGAGCTCTAGGATATGTACCTGTAACATTTTTAAGTATCATAATCTTTCTTATAAAAAATGATGCTTAAATATTGTGCACAATCACATTACATGATTATAAACAATATGTTGTGCCCCAAGTGGAGAGGCACGTTGAGTAGGTTCGGGATCGGTGGGTCGAGAATGCAAAGGCGAAATGATGTAGTTTAATAAATAAATTTAATGCACTTC